CTTGACCCGGTTCAGACGTGTCTTCACTCGTGGGCAGCGGGTGCGTGCCCACAACCTCCTGAGCTCCCTCTTCTCGTGCAGCCGATCGAGGAGCCTACGCGGGAGTTTGTCTTTTCGGTGCACCTGTGGCACCGCATTGGTCGCCGCGCGCAATTCTTCCTGTATTTTACAGGTGATTTTGCGCGCGGCCTGCTCCACGTCCTCCGCGGTTGAGATGGGTGCACCGAAGCTGAAGTCGGACATAGCTCTCGAATAGGCCCCCCAATCGGTCCTGTACCTAGGGCCTCTGGGAGCCAGTGAGTCCGCAGCCAGACTCAGCACGATGAGCACAGGGAGGTGCTGCGTGTCCGCATCATACAGCACCTCTACCTGGACAGGGCATGGCACTTTGTGGCAGAGCACGATGTCCGGACATCCGGAACTTGGTGTTCGTCGGCGGGTACGTGTGTGGGCTCGTCGGGGCCCAACACTTCGTAACCCGCCTCTTCTGCGTCCTCGTATAGACTCCTGCCAGCGGGAGACACGACTCGCGATCCCCACGACGGATGTTTTGCGTTGAAGTCCCCCGCTATAATGGCAGGAGTGTTATCGGAAAAAATATTCCGGATGTCTCTGGCATTGAAGGGCGAGCTGGGCGGGCGATACGCAGCGAACATGCGTATCTCTTTCCCGCCCGCGTGGAGGCATACGCCTATGGAGCGCGTGCTAACGAAGCTACGCAGCTCCTCTTCGTCGTGTACTAGGTTCCGTCTTACCAGCACGGCCGTGCCTCTGTAGGCATAGTCATGGTCGGGGGAGATCTCATCCCGTCTGTACACGACGAAGTTTGATAGGCGGAACGGCTGACTCGGACGGAGTTTGGTCTCTCCCAGCAGCACAATCTGGATGTTGTGCTGCTGAACCAACATCCTAAGTTCCGAGAGCCGCTGCGTTATGCTTCCAGGGTTCCAATACATGGCCCTAATTTGCGGCGCCATTGCGTACCCTAATGGCGCTAGTGAGCGCCGTTAGGGTGTCGTTACCCGTCGCCATTGAGACTAGGACATCCCTAGGAATGAGTTGGTTAATTGCCTCCTCAATTCCCTGTGCGACGTACGTGGAGTCGCGGGAATGGGAGGCAATGGCCTCCCCCTTACCCCTTGGCCTTGTTGGGCCGATTGGTGTGGGCGCGGTGCGACTGTTGCAGCTGTGGCGACATTCTCCCGCTGTTTGTGCTACAGCCGCTTTTCGGTGCAGCAGTGGTGGTGGTTTGGGAGGTGGGGAGGGGGGGGGCTGTGGGGTCACCACAGCTTGCCCCGCTGAATGTGATTGGGAGGTGTTCTTCTTCTTCCTCTTCCCCCTCTTTTTCTTCTTCTTGGCCGCTTCACCGCGTATTGTGGCGTCATTGGCCGGTGGCATGAGGGTGGCATGAGTGCCTGCCACTGATTGTGTCGTGCTCACAGTTGCGGGGGTTGTCGCCGTGTTCCCCTGAGTTTGAGGGGGAAGAGGCATTACGCTCCATTTATCGCTCATTACGTTACATTTGTCTGGGTGGTGGTGGCGGTGGTATTGGCGGTGACAATTTAATGCCACGGCTCTTGGCCACCCGTTGGAATACCGCACAACGCCTGTCGTTGGCTGCGTGTGCTTTTGCGCAGTTGGCACACTTCGGCGCTTCGCCCTTCCGTGGGCATTCGGCCGAAATGTGCTCGCCAGCGCAGCGCACACAGCGCAGGGGTCAGTGGCAGTTGGCACATGCATGTCCGAACCCCTGACAGCGGTGGCATTGTGCGGGACCACCCTTCCCTAGCCAGGCCTCAATAGTGACGCCTGGCATGTTTAGTACCTCAGTTACCTCATAAAGACGCTTGAGTTCGTTTTTATCGAGGTGGTCGAGTTTGAGATGGTATAGGGTTCCCGGTCTGGACCTCTTGGGCGGTATCGCTCTCGAGTAAGTGGCCGGGACCCAATTTGCTTGAAGTACTCGACCACCTCATCAGGCGATGTGACTCTGGGGAGCCCTCTGATCCCTACTTTTGTGGGTACTTCCTCAGGCGGAGCGTAACAAAACCACACAATTGTGGGATCTTTTTGGCTACACTCGACAAGGTAGCGCTGTATTACCCGGTATTCCGCGGCATTTTCCGGGGTAAAGCGCACTCCCTTGCCGAGCGGCCTGGCGTGTGGTGCGTGTCCTAACTGTCCTTTGAGGACAGAAAAGTGCTTCGTCCATTGCGGCAGACATTCTACCACAATAGGTGGATATTTTCGCCCTTTCTCCTCGGGAAGTTGTGGCGGCGCTTGGTTGGTTCCCTGCGTTGTAGAGGACTGTCGGCGTGTAGATGGTGTTGCCGAAGCCGCGTTGGCGTACGTCGGCGGTGAAGATATTGCTGTAGAGGGGCCGGGTTGAGGCCGGGCCGGGTTGAGTCCATCTCGACCTCATTATTGGTGTTTGCTGACTGTTGATCAGCAGTTGATGGGCCCGGAATTGGTTCCGTTATTTCGGAGGTCGGTTTAGTCAGGACGTCCTGCCTCTTGTCCTTACTGGTGGGAACATCGTCCAATTTGGGACGCTTGTCGTCTTGGGTAGGCGAATCCGGGGATGTGGGAGGACGGGGTGTCTTCGTCCATTGCGGTAGTGGTGCTGTAGCCGCTTTCTCCCCGCTTTTGGGGGTGGTTTCAGAGGGCCCTGCAACCTTTAGTGGTGCATTGGCATTCGGTTGGGGTGGTTGGATCTGTGATGGTAGGATCCTGGTTATTTCGTTGGTGAAAATATTCCTTTCAACAAGGATTTTCACCTGCGGTTTTGCTCGCCTAGATTTGGCGGTGGTTGCGGCTTTTTTGCCACGACCCATGTTGGAGTGTTAACACAGTGTGCATCTAAAACAGAATGTTCTAGAGCGCACCGGAGAATGGTTTATTAATAATACGCACTCTTTCTGCGCGCGTTTATTGAGACTGCTCCCTTGGTACCGCACCCCACCGGGGGACGCCCGGAGGGAAAACCACCGATGAGGTAAGCTGTTTCTGATATAATCTCAATAAACGACGGATGGAGTGACTTTAGCTGTTTTTAGGCTACTGAGGTAGCCTTATCTCACCACTGGACCCTTTTTAATCAAAAAGGGCGACCAAGTAGCGAGCAGCTACGCGGTTGGACTTGGTTGAGCGCAGTTACAACAGAAAGCCAAGAACGAACAGCGAAAGAGGAACGAAGTGTCCTAGGTGACTCGACGCGGAACGGAGCAATGCTCGACGCTCGGCGGAGTTCGCTTCGGAAGGCTTAGGCTGTGCACAACCCTAGTGCTGATGCAATGAAGGCGTACACAACGTTTACCACTCACTTGATCCTCAACTTAATGATAAAATAATGTAAGACTCACACGTTAGCATGCCATACCTTGTCGAAGACCTTCAACACATGGAGAGAAACACCAAGTGCTTCTCCATTGTTCTCGAGGTTCTCACCCCAAAGGTAGGTAGCATAAACTAGAAGATCACCATTGGATAGATTTCGGCAAAATCCGCGCTAAGGCTAAGAATATCCTTTTGCTCTAGATATGCCTAATGAGGCAGATCTTCATTATCACAGAGAAAATCGTGTTTTGACGGAGAGGTGGAACTATATATGAACACAGGAGACAACTTAGATGCACAAGTTAGAACTATAGCTGGTTTACCGTCCGTTCCACTGGATTTGTTCACGTCCAGGCCTATTAATTTTTCTACAATCTCTCTCTACGTAATGTGTATTTCTGTGTACAGAATGTCACAATGAGCTTAAAAATGATGGGGTGACTTGTTCTAGCACCAGAGGAAAGGTGGCCTTAGAAGGCCATAGTCGGGCTAGGGTCGTGGAAGATAGCGCCTTCATGTTCCCGTGTCCCCGGCCGATGCGACAGACAGATGCAACGTAGGTTTTGTAATAGGTATCCGTTTAGATCTATATAGCCCTGCCGCTCCCTTGCTTTGGAGGCTCCACAGGAGATTTTTCCGACGGAAAAAAGGTAGAGTAGTTAACTGTCGCTTGTTGCTACAAACATAAGGTAAAAAAATGGTCGCATGGAGGCGAGATATGCGTATGCCTCTCTACATACTGGAACCTGCCTACGATAGGTACATAAAGTATCTACAATAAACACGAAAACTTAAAAGTTCGTCGCCGACATCGGGACTATCCTCTGTCCGCAACGAGAAGCGAATATTTAGAAGCTGCAGCCGACGCAGCGATCGGAAGAGTTAAGTAACAAATCAAGTTGTGCACGAGGGGTGGATAAGTAGCATTTAGCGGTCGTCCCACCCTACGACTGTATGCGGTTGAATCATAATGACTTTTTAAATTACTGGGGTTTTGTGTACTGATTGAACGAATTGTTTTTTATTGAAATTTATTGTTTTCGTAAGTGATAGTTCGCGACATATTTATTTCTCGTGTCACGATTTTACCCTGATAACCTTTTCATAAAAAAAAAGCGATGATTGACAGACAGTCATAGCACTTAAAATTGTTTACCATAAATTCGTCTTAGTCACTATTTAAAAAAATCTTTCTATTAAGTGTTAAAGATAACTTTGGTGTTAACTGTGGGTGTAATCAACATTACATTTCATAATTTCAATTCACGATAAGATGGCCGCCGTTTGTCAAAGTAGATTGTAAAAGCATTGCTGCGCTTGTGAACTCGATTTTGCTGGTAAGATTTCTGATCGAATTTCTTGATAATGACTTAATGTCAAAATATGAAAACAAATAGCCGGGAAAACAATTCACAAATTCACATCGGTTTTTAAATATCTTGATTAAGTAAAGTTGGCTAAATTATATAATTACGAAGTATATATATTCTCTTAATATCTAAATACTCTTTTTTATTTAAACTTTTTATATTTTATTCTTTCTTTTCTGTTGTAGTAATAATTGACCATTTTTATGCTAATTTTTAATTTTTCCCTAAAAAATTATTTCAGACAATGAAGTAACTTCATCAAAGTATAAAACGAAGTGTCGATAAGACTATCAAATGGAGCAAATAGTTGTTAAAACTGAGGTTCAACCAAATGGTGATATATTATTGTTTTATGTTGATGGTGAGTTTTGTAATTTGATTATCTAGCTTTTAATAAAACTGTTATAGTTATGGTCTAAAATAAAATATAGTAATTAACCTATTTTCATCATTTCAACACATTTCTTTTTGGGTAAACTAAACGTGGTCCTTCACTGCTGGCCGTATGAGGAAGCTCAAAGTCGCTCAGCGAGCTATGGAGCGGGCTATGCTCGGTATTTCTCTGCGTGATAGAGTTCGTAACGAAGACATCCGCAGTAGAACCAAGGTAACCGACATAGCTCAGAGGATTAGCAAGCTGAAGTGGCGATGGGCCGGCCATATAGCTCGTAGAACCGATAACCGTTGGGGAAGAAAGGTTCTCGAGTGGCAGCCTCGTACTGGCCATCGCAGTGTAGGACGACCCTCCACTAGATGGAGTGACGACCTGTGCAAATGTGCGGGAAGTCGATGGATGCAGGTGGCTCAGGATCGTACTTCGTGGCAGTCTGTGGGGGAGGCCTATGTTCAGCAGTGGACTCAAACAGGCTGAAATGATGATGATGATGATGAAATGTTTTAAAAATTGTGTGGAAGTAGTGAGTCATTTGATGTAAAGGGTCTTCAAAACCATGTGTTTTATATATATATTACCATGTGTTATATATATATTACCATGTGTTATATATATATTACCATGTGTTATATATATATTACCATGTGTTATATATATATATATATATATATATTATAACTTAGAGTTAGAATTCAAATGTTATTAGACCGGGACTTAGACCGACTAGCAAATAAAAATTTCAGATTTGGAAGTTGAGTTGTGTGAGCATATAACTAAAAGTAAGCACTAATTTCAGAAGCCTTATGATACTTAATTATCTCCTTGAAAAAAGAAATGGCATACTATCAGCACTATTAATAGAAAAATAATCTATAGTTAATTTATTAACTGAATTGATCATATTTAAGTTTTTGTTTTAATTTAATTTTGAATACTAATGAAGATTAGGCATCACAATTACTTTTTATATTATGGTTATTATTAGATTTTATATTGATTTATATTCTGACTTAGCTCCACCAACATGCAGGAATAGGTAAAATGTTCTTACAACTCAATTCAAATTATGTCAAAGGAAATGATACAATACTGTAGGACATTATAACACAATCTCAAAATTATGCATTCTTTAACTAACCAATCTTAAAACTAAAATTGGCCCTTAGTATATATAATAAACATCATATTATGTGTCCTGCTAACAGACAAGTACCACTTTTTTACATCTAACTACACATATTTAGATTTGTGTCCTACAGTATTAACTGTTTTCCCATTTCGGTCGACTCAACATTTTCAAGCAACTGGTCATTACCAGTAATAAACATTAATAACATTTTATTGTCTGATTAATAAAATTTGCAATAAGTAACATACTCCATTGAGTAATAACTTGCGATAGATTTTTATATTAGACTTCCACTAAGAAACTATTTCACTATGCTATAAAGTATTTTTAAAATTAAACTTTGTTGGATTGCACTAAGGAACAAATCTGAATACCTAATAACTTGCAGTAGATTTTTTTTAATCTCCCGGTAGGTAATTAGCTAAGTAATTTACTAAATGGAGGAATATAGGCTATTTACTCAATGGCCACTGGTGGCAGACTAGACACTGCCTCATTTTATTACAGTTTTTTAAAGTTTATTTACTTTGTTTTTTTTTTAAGAAAATCAAAGTCATGGAGTAGGTGAATTGACAAGAATCGAAAATGTACCCACAAGTGAAACAGAGCAGTTGCAACAAAGTGATTTTGTACTAAGCAACATTGAAGAATCAGTTAACGAATATGGTTTGTTACAAACTGATGACCAATTCAATGAAGAAAGCTGGCAAGATGAGGAAATTCAAAAGCTTCTTGTGTTTTATATAGACAACAAAGACAGTTTCTGTAATGCAGATACAGAAAACAAACACTTGTGGATTGTTGCGTGCAAAACAATGCTGAATGGCAAAAATCCAAGTATGTGCGAATTAAAATTATTGGAGATGAAACAGAGTTATTCACAGATATGCATGGAACAACAACAAGGTAATGTTGCAAAATGGCCCTACTATGACCTCTGCCATCAGGCATTTCATGATAATGAATCTGTTAAGACATTTATGGATGTAAATATCAAACAGGAAAATATGAATGTAATACCCATTGTTCCAAAGTTTAAGGAAGAAGGTATCCTAGTTATGAAGAAGGTTAACAGTGGTCGTACAATCACAGATGAAAAGGTTGAGCTCATGCTGAACTTATATCTCAAGTACAAGAGGAATATTCAAAAGTATCATACTCATAGAGGCATTTGGGATGCTATTGCAGTGGAGTTGGGCCAAGAGGATGCAGATTATTGGCATAAACGCTTCCTAAACTTCAAGCAGCATTACATAAGGATGGTGTGTAAACGAAACGAGACCGGACCGGAGAAAATTAATTGGCCGTACATGAAATTATTTGATCAAATATTTGATGGCGATGAGGAATTTCAACGGAAATTCGGCCCGAGGCACGAGATGACTCAAAACATTAATGGTGTCGCTTCAGCAGAAGACACAGAGATTATTTGGAATGATACGGAAAGAACGGTATTAGTGAAATATTATTTCGACTGCTTCCACGAATTCCAAGACCCGACAATACCCAATAACTTTTTATGGCACGAAATAGGCAGGTTGTTGGAGAAGAAACCTGAAAATTGCAAACAGAAATATAGAGAAATGAAGAGGGAACACTTCGAAAAACTAACAGAAGGTGAATATGATCTAATTAATAGAATTCCTATAGAGATTATTCTCGACAATATTATTGCTCGTGAAATTGAGATAGAATTTCGATCACAACAGAAAAGGGTCGATCAATTTGCTCCTTGGAAGACGGAGGAAATAGATAAACTTGTGCAATTTATCTATGATAACATAGAAATATTTAAAGATTCGGTTTGCTACTATGTCAGTTGGAGTATAGTGGCAAATAAATTGAAAAAAAATATTCACAGTTGTAAAAAGCAATGGGAGGATTTGACAACCCTGTACAAGTCAATATTGGAGGACAAAAAGGAGAACCCAGACATGCAAATAGATTGGCGGTATATAGACATATTTGACAGAATTTTTGATTATGGGATGGACACCAATTTACTCGAGGGCTATGAAAACGTTAAAGCACAGAATGAGAGTGACCACTCGGAAAAAGTTGGCGGTGAGTATTAAAGTAAGGCAATTTGGTAAAAGTGTAACAAACGTTGGGAATTTAAATTTAAGTTAAGCTTGATAAAATCTGTAACATTATTTTAAATTAGTAAACGTCATTCTGCTTCATTTATCGTCTAGAACAACTTATATATAATCAATATTAACTTTCAGCGAGGAAGGTACACATAAAGGATGAAGAGGACAACGATGATTTTTCCGAAGACGAGGAAAGTTACGACGAAAGAGGTTACACAAAGCGGTCGAAACGGCGCCTGGGCGAGTCCAAGGGCTTCAAGATCCTCGAGTACTATCTGCGGAACAAGGATAAGTTCTCATGCTCACTAAGGAAGAAACTCTCCCTGTGGGAGGTGCTGGCCAGGCAGCTGGGGATAACGGCCGCGCAGTGCGCACACCGCTTCAGGAACCTGAAGCAAGTTTACACGGGCTACGTCCAGAGGGAGATAAACAAGCCGGACATGCCGATACTGTGGCCGTATTACGCCCTGTGCAAGAAGGTGTTCGGTTACAGGGCGATAAAGTCCCGGCTGAAGAGCGGCAAGATGGACTCTGACGACGCCGAGGAGTGGACGGCGCGCGAGATAAAACAGGTTATAAACCATTACTCGAGCAACTGCGACTCGTTGCGCGATAGCGCCGAAGACGTGGACCGCTGGTCGCCGCTGGCCTCGCAGCTGGGGAAGACGGCGAGGGCCTGCTGCGAGAAGTTCCTGGAGCTGCGCAAGTCCTACAGGAAGCTGAAGACGATGAAGAGCAGGAACCCGGAGGTGAAGGTCTCGTGGAAGTACTTCAACATGATGGACGACATCTTCAGCTCTGACGAGACGCGGCGGCGGACGGACGAGACAGATGCGACGGATAACGTAGACATCGCGGAGACGATGGACGTGGACGCTATCAAAACTGAATTGCCCGATGGTGAGTAATTTTTTTTTATTTATAAACTGGCCAGTGCCCTGCCACCATTCCACCTGATGGGGTGAATGAAGAAATTAATTTGTTCTGTATTAAACACACATACATATTAACGACTGTAAAGTCTGTTAACTTTATTTAATTTAACATACACATAACATAAAAAAATAAAACAAGATGTTAAACTGTCTTAGCAAAGAAACAGCTCCCAGTAAAGATAGAAAAAGTTTGTGGTTTAAACAAACGATTTAAAATTCATGTTTGTATGATCTATAATTTTGAAGTACTAAAAATATCATGGCACCTTATGAACTTTTAGTACTAAAAATTTTTGGCCTCTGGTGAAATGTCATATTAACTGTTACCCTTAAAATAATATTACTTTTCTTTTCTTTTATTATACTGATTTAAAAGATTTATTCCGAACCAAACATAATTCTACTATTCTATCACTTAATAAACGACTGTCATACAAATTTTCAGATGAAGAGTTCGAGTACATCATAGTTATACCAGAAGATCAGGAATTAGGAGACAACGACGTCCAGGTAACGGTGGAAGGCAGCGCCGATGACACTCACGCTGAGGATGCAGTGGAAGTAAAGCCACAAATCAATAAATGGAACAGACGGACCAAAAAACGTCTACTGATCCATTATTTGAAGTACTTAAGGTCGCACAGAGGAAAGGAGATAGACTCAAGAGATATGTGGAGAGAGATATCGTCCAAGCTAAACAAATCGCCGTCAACGTGCCGAAGGATTTTGATAAAACTGAAAAACCAACATAGGCTCTCCGCCTCAAGTGAAGAGTTCAAAACTAAATCGCCCTACTACAGTCTTATCGAGAAGATTCTGTCAATGAAACCGAAGTTTGCGAAGATCTCCCAAGACAAAAGGCTACAGGAGAACAGAACGTATAAAGACGTCGCCATGGCCGATGAGAAAGTAGAGAGGGCGCTGCAGTACTACCTGGATTGTCTGGAGGAGTTCCTGAGCCCGAGATTCGAGAAGAAGTACGTCTGGATGGAACTCGCAAACGCAATCGACGAGCCGGTATCCAAAGTGTTCAACAAAGTCAACTATTTGAAACACCTGTTCGACAGTAACCCAAGCGCAGGTCAAGGAGTTCCCTTCAGTGCGATTTTGCAAGAGATCAGCGTCAAGGAGTCGCTATTGAAGAACGGTGAGGACTTCAACGACGTTGAAAGGGCTCTGGTCGATGACAGCGCTCTAGAAGAGTTCTGGTCTGACGACGAAGTGGAAAGCCTTCTCACATGGTACTTGGCCAATTTGGACAAGTTCAAAAATCCGAAGTACGTACGCAGCTACCTGTGGATGGGGGCGTCGGAGATACTGAAGAAGAGCCCATTGATCTGCTCCAAGAAGATGTCCGAAATCAGGACCCAGTACAGGAATATGGTCAGGGAGGCGCCTGAGGAGTTGTCCGATTGGAGATTCCACAATCTCTGCCAGAAAATCTACGGAACCGGGAAGAAACCGGCTAGCATCAATTGAACCTCTATGTAACATACATGGGCATGTAAAATATAACTATTTTATGGATCTAAGTGCGTTTAATTTGTATTTTAGTTCCTGATGTTTCGAATATCTATAGTCAAGCCTTGATTGCCATATTTTACCATAACGACGAAAGATCACTGCTAATTGAGTTTCACCAAACTTATTAAGGTCCAATCGCCTGATCGAAGTACACCATAGCTTCAATGTAAAAAAAATGCTTTTGATCGAGATGGTTTCGACTCGTTTGGTTCTCGTGGCAATACACGATAAGGATTTTTATAAATACCTGAGGCATATATATATATATGGATGGCATATATATATAGGATTTTTATAAATACCTGAGGCATATATATATATATATATGGATGGCATATATATATAGGATTTTTATAAATACCTGAGGCATATATATATATATATGGATGGAATATATATATAGGATTTTTATAAATACCTGAGGCATATATATATATATATGGATGGCATATATATATAGGATTTTTATAAATACCTGAGGCATATATATATATATATATATGGATGGCATATATATATAGGATTTTTATAAATACCTGAGGCATATATATATATATACATGGATGGCATATATATATAGGATTTTTATAAATACCTGAGGCATATATATATATATATGGATGGCATATATATATAGGATTTTTATAAATACCTGAGGCATATATATATATATATATGGATGGAATATATATATAGGATTTTTATAAATACCTGAGGCATATATATATATATATATATATATATGGATGGCATATATATATATATATGGATGTCATATATATATAGGATTTTTATAAATACCTGAGGCATATATATATATATGGATGGCATATATATATAGGATTTTTATAAATAATACCTGAGGCATATATATATATATATATATATGGATGGCATATATATATAGGATTTTTATAAATACCTGAGGCATATATATATATATGGATGGCATATATATATAGGATTTTTATAAATACCTGAGGCATATATATATATACATGGATGGCATATATATATAGGATTTTTATAAATACCTGAGGCATATACAGGGTGTTACAGAAAGATGTTGTAACATTTAAAGCCGTGTATATATATCAGACTTTGAATGAAATGGCATAATTTTAAAATACGAATCTAAGCATTTTTTGACGATAAAAATTAAAAAATTAATTAACTGTAACAACCCTGATTGTAGAAGTCACTGACCGCCCATCGGTGTTATCACTCCAAACTCACACACGCATACATCTGATCGCCCGACTTATTCCCCTCTCCCTCCACTCCTCGTTACGTCATTCCCCACTCCCCGCTCCTCACGTTTATCGGGCCCCTCCGCCCCCCCCTCGCCAACCAAACTGACAACGACCGCATCGCGCTGCAGGTCCTGGCGATGCTATGAAACAACGTGCTTATCATAAAAATTTATTTGAATTTATCGGATTTTATCACAACAGATAGACACGAAATAGCTATACTGGTAGTCCATGAGCCCTACTTAATATGTTATTGACTTTTCTTTTGATTAAAGATAGGTATTCATTATAAGGAAATAAAACACAAAACACACTATTTTTACTACGTTTATTTTTCAAAACATTTTTTTACGTGGAATTAATGATAGAATCCTATAGTTGGTCAAACATATTCACAATGTCCACTGTAACTTATAATTTTTTAGTATTGAGATTTTGAATTAAACATTAAATTGCTTGCAGTGGAAGGTACAAACATTTTAGAAGGTTACACTTACTCACAAATCTTACAACGCCGATAAATTTATTCAACACAACATCAGTGAGATACATTATCATGTTATAGCGGATACATAATACATAATAATGACAAAAATAAATTTCGAATTAAGTAAGTTCAATGTAATTATAAAGTTAAAAAAATAAAATCTTTATTTTAAAAATAACCTATACCTAGACATTCCAATGAGATCAGCGTTTACTAAGAAAACTCGTGCTTATCGGTGTCGGTCGGTTCCATTACGCGATAATATTCTTTCACTGTTATAGCACTTCAGCACTTGGGATAGTCATTGTCACTAACTTAAAACACACCAAGGTCAAGGGTTAAGGGGACGACGCATATAGGGCGCGGATGCAGACGAGGGCCGATCCTACCAACTCCTTTTTAACACAACTGGCAGCTGTTCTAAATTTATTTCAGCATTCTTGCTAGCTGTCTTTTGGCGTTTCTTCTTTAATACTTATGGCGTCAAAGACTGCCTGTCATCGAAAAAAACCAATAATGTAGTTTCAAGGTAAATCGACGGCATTTCTCTCCGCAACACCGAATATTATTAAGCAATTTCTTAGCATATGCATTTCTGTCATCAATAACTAATCGAGAATAAAAAATAAAAATCACGAACTTGTCTTCACACCGTAATGTCTAAAAAGTAACTGATTGTGATTTAATTAAAAGTTTAAATAACACAAACGAAGCGACGGCATATTTTATGTATTGGACTACCTAAGCGGCATTCGGCTGCTTATGTCGTTAAGTACATAAGAAACGTTTGTTGAGGACTATTTCGCCGCTCGCATAATAATGTTACCATGTCTACTGAGTAATATTACAGGACGGGAGAAAATAATTGGCTATTTAATTTTCAAATCAGCATAGCTATAACAAAAACTTTTTGTGAATCAACATTTAACTATTGCTGGAAGGTCAGGTATTCTTTTAATGGTATTTTACCATTGATATTTTTCATTTGTAGTAGACAAAAATCAAACAAAACATTTAGAATCTAGTTGACCTTCTTTAAAATACCACAAAATAATCTACTATTTAGAGCTTTTGGCTCATTTTCAAGTATTATTTTAAGCTTAAGTTATTTTAACTATTATGCAGACTACTAACTTCATGAGAAAATGTGAAAATTTCAGAGCAAAATTATTTTCACGTGATGGCAGCTTACAGTTTTTGTTTATTTTTCCTATCAAAATTGTAGCACAAAGTACAGACTAAGGTCTATAAAAATTCGGGATGACCGAACATCAGAATATCGGGATATTCCACGCGGATCGGTACATCTGGTAACACTAGTTCTAGGGAGTGCGGTAAATACAAAGGCGTTCTTTGTTTGACGCCGACCATCCACGTGGACTGATGGATTTGAATAGAAGGTCATTCAAAACACGTGTAATTAGATCGAAGAATCATAACTAAGCTAACTATAAAATGATAGTTATGCTTATGGATCCATGAAATTACTTTTTTTTACTTTTTTCAGAATGCTTTGTACACTGAATAATAATTAATGCAATTAATTTAATAGGTACCGAAAATTAAGTTTAAGCTGTTATTATGGACTAAAATTTTTATTGACATTTAATAAGGTATCCATCTAATATCAAGTTAATGGTATTTGTTTGGTTCCGCATAATAAAGAAAAAGTTCATGATTTCTTTGCAGAGTTTTTTAATTTTTGTTAATGCGCGCGATAAATAACTACACGTGCTGCCACCAACCGAACAAGCTCGGAGCCCGAGAGTCGATGTCTTTCACATCGACTCAACGCGTCGCGTTAAGAACGCTAATTTATTTAATACTTTCCGCAAAAACTTTTAATTGTTCAATTAAAAATATTGGCGCGAACCTCCATACTTTCATTTAAAACAAAAAAAAATTACAAATTATTTAAAAATATAGTCCACAATTATTATTTTTTTTAATTTTTATGTCTAAATACTTATTTGTATTGAACATAGTAAAGTCAATTTGTATAAATTTTTTCGTATTTTTTTTTTTTTTGCCCAAAATTATTAAATATGAAACAGTGCCATCTTGTAGATTGACTTATGACTATTTACGGTTATCAGTTATTTAATTAACAATGGTAATAGTACGTGTTGTGCCTATTTGTATTAGACAAATTAAGAGTGAATACATTTTTAATTCAATAATTTTTATTTAATTTGACCGTATTTTTTGATATCCGTGACATCAAAAAAAATTATCTAAATTCAACAATTCGAAAAACCTGGACAACCAAATTGATAAAAATTTAAATTATAAAATGATCTGTCGTCAAAATTTACTAATGTATTGGGTTTTTCTTTCTATAAAGTGTTTTGGGTTTTAAAATGCTCGATTCATTAATCTTCGAAATATCATACGAAATGAAATTCGAAATACAGTAATCACTACATAGTATAAAACAAGGTGGTCCCGCTGTCCGTCTGTCCCTATGTATGCTTAGATCTTTAAAACTACACAACGGATCTCGATGCGGTTTTTTTTAATACATAGAGTGATTCAAGAGGAAGGTTTATGATTATAGTATAATAATATGAATAGATTAATGAAAAAATAATGAATTCCATCAATCACTATCACTACATAGTATAAAACAAAGTCGTCTCGCTGTCTGTCTGTCCCTATGTATGCTTAGATCTTTAAAACTACGTAATGGATCTCGACGCGGTTTTTTTTACTAGCTAGAGTGATTCAAGAGGAAGGTTTATAATTATGTATAATACATTGCACCCGTGCGAAGCCGGGGCGGGTTGCTAGTAAAGGTATAATAATATAAATAGATTAATGAAAAGATAATGATTTCATTCAATATGTACTTATAAAATAGTCTATGCTGTTGATAAAAAGAGCATTTTTATCAACAGCATAGACTGTATGTATTACAATTAGTGTGACAATGATATTATAAGTAATCTTTATCTGAAATCGATCAACCAAACACTAACTTTAGTTTATGACCAAATTTCTAGTACTTACATAAATAGACTTTCTTTTTTGAAGATCATTGGCTAGCATAAATTCATGGAAGGAAGCCGTATATTTAATATTATTGTCATATTTTTAAATTTTTTGTATTATTAGAGTAGACTAAAATTTTAAAACATAATAAATGTCTTGTCTCATTGATTTTTATAATTATTGTCTTACCAAATCAATACTTTATTCTACTATTTTAGAGC